AGAGTTTGCGAATGACGATATTGGATGCCATAGAAAAGTGAATTAAAAAGAGATGAGTAGGTTGACAATGAGTAACTCCCGTGGACAAAACTACTTTTGTTAAGTTCGAATTTGAGTTGGGTGTGTCTTGCTAAGCAGGGCCCGCCTCAAACGGCGAAATTTCCATAATAAGATCATAATTTCACTTTTGGTCGACTGAAAAGCCGAAACTAAACAACAATGCAGTATTGTACCAAATTTGAAAATTCGATTCTAAGTTTTCTTTTTATTGCCCCACTAGCTTTGGGCACAGAAAAATCCGAGATCCAATTAGATAATTTGAAACAATTCAATAACCTCCCGATTACCGATCGGACACCTTTGTTACTCTCGAGCTACAAGAAATTTCGTGAAGGGTCTTAACGTACGGCGTCAATGAAACCCATTTTGTCGCAGCGTTAAAACCGGCCATATCGAAAATTACTCAGTCCGTGCTGTTTTCCCAAGTAAATTACTTGAAAAATACATAGATTTAAGAATAGATGCAGCCTATAAAAGGTTCTGCACCTGCATCAGCCAGGCGAACGAACGAAATTGTAATGGCTGTTTCCGTGTAATGTTATACGACTTTTAGCTATAGTGTGACAGTCAATTTTAACGCCTGTGAGGCGCCATTCAATCCTAGTCTCGAACTGAAGTCTTAAGTTTGTGCTCATCCAAAGTCATATGTTTTACGAAACTCAGTTGAGCATATTAAACGAAGTAAATCTGACACTAAAATCTTACTTAGTAAATTTTTTACTTAGTAAAAAAAAAAAAAAAAGGAAAAACTCATCATTCTATATTCTATTCAGTAACAATCCTGTCGTAGTTTATGTACTCAAAGACATTTACTCAGAAACAAAATAAGGTAAGGGCAGAAATGAGGAATGAAGGTTCCCTTTAAAGAGTTCAGATGAGAACGCCAGCTTAAAAGTACTTCCCCTAGTTTATGCTGTGCATAATTAAAGGAAAATGCAGGCTCCGTCCAATATCACTCCGCCAGATCAGTCCTAATGACGCTATGTAATCGAAGTAAGCAAGTGCTGGCCCTGGAAACAATCTTCACAATCTACTTGAGCCTTCCTTGAGTGAATAATTAAGCCTGGTTTAGATTTAGAAAACAAAGTAACGTTCGCCTTTTCTTCCAGTATGGCAACTTGTTTTCAGCGTTGTTTTATCATTTATAGCTGTAACGACGTTAGTGATCATTTTTCTAAGTAAAGTTTAGTTTAAAAAGTATCATTTGGTGGTGGAAATTTTATCCAAATTTTATTCATGTATTAGTTTAGGGGATTATCAGGTAACATAAAAACTGTTCCAATTATTTTAGATAGATGTCAGTTGATTGTCCAGTCTGATCGTTCGGATGAGAGTAGCACTGAAAAGGGTATCTTGTTCTGACAGTGAATGACACACGACAATCCAAGTGGAATACTCTGATGATGACTTTCCCTCGGGTTGTCTAAACAGTAGTCACTTATACCGATAACAGACCTTTTCAGGACTAGGAGAGGGTTAGGTTGGAAGGTTTATTACCTCCGTGGTTGATAAATTTGACGAAGAACTCACGCTCGAAAAGTCAACTCCAGAAACTCTTTATAGTGGCCATTTTCCGTTGTCAACCCAGCTGATAAAATCAAGTCATCACGGTTTATTTAGAAATTTACCCCCTTTTCAGGACTACTCTCACCCGGACGATCATACAACGCGACCACCTGTTTTCCCTTGTTTTAAATCATTAGCCGGTAAATACTTATATAAGTGATAAATTTATTTAGTTATTGTTAGTTATTGAAAACGTTGGATGTTTCGTTTGTCTCATTACTGACCAACATCCTAGGAGAAAATTCTGTTCAAATACAGAGTAGTGGTTACCTTTGCCATATTGCTAATTGAGAAAGACACTGTACAAGGTTTGCATCTGCTGTTAGCTTTGTTAGCTCCTTATTTAACCATGTCAGTTGTCATAAAATTGTATCTTGGTGAGACACGGTTCTCGTAATAAGAGATTTTTACCTCAAGGAAGATGTATTCCAGTTATGGCCAACTTATCATCAAATTTTTAGCGACATAAAAGCCCCTGCACTTTTATCACGTGTTCAAACGAAACTCTGTAGTATTTCGAATCCTGAAGTAACAGTAGACTGTCTAGCGAGGGTGGTCCTAGAAAGAACTAGACGCTCGAGGAGCGTTCACTCGGGCTTCGTTTATAGCCATGGCATTCACACAAGACACAAGTACAATAATAACATACACAAATTGCATGACCAGATCTGAATTGTTGTACTTTTATTGATACTGTAACATCATTATGTTGTAGTGCATTAGTCACATTAACAACTTTTTGTGGAAGATCACAGTGTTCCGCATCATGTCTTCTACTAAGCAAATACAACTCCGTGCAAAGAGCAAACCAACATTCACGATCGCTTTTACAATATATTTGTGTTTATGTACGAAACACCAAATTGTACTTTACAAGTATTAAACCCAGTAAAAACCAATCACAGAAAAAGGATATCAACAGAAGAGCTAAGCTTATATATTTAACCTTACTATTCAAGTTGCTTCTGTCAGTAGCCTTATCCAATTCGCTGTTGTTAGCGCCACCTTCGAAGTTGTGTTCACACCGAACATTCTTAATTTTTTTCAGCAAGTGAGGTGTTCGTCTCAGCATCCTAGCTGGTGGTTAAATCGGCCTCACAGTTTTGCCAGTATTTTCGTAGTTTGAACTCACACATGGCTCATCTGTTATCTCGTGAGAACTAGTATGAACTTTGCACATTTGCCTAGCTTTCAAGCTATGAAGTTCGCGGACCGGCCCATTCCGAAAACACTGGACATCATTTAGCGTTGGCCTGCCACGAACCGGGCACGTGCGTTTCCACGTGGGATGAGCGTATAAGACAGGAATCTTTGCAATGCGGTCTTCACAAAACACGGCATTATGTAAGTTATGTTGGTTACGTAGAGCGAGCAAATGATAACACAAGTTGTCGCACTCTCATCCCCAGTTTCCAAAGCTTACGCAAGGAACGCCTGCGACCATGATTCCCCTTTTGGCGACCAAGAACGGCGTGCACTTTAAGACTCGGGCTTTTCAACGGAAGACCGAGTAATAACCTGCGATCACATGCCCCTTCTATCTGTCGAAGTGAGGCAACTCGGAGGGTCATTAGCTGTAAAATGGCCCCATTTTTGAACCCTCAACCGTAAGAGCCATCACCCGATTCAGGCCCCTAGAATTGAAGAAGCGCCACAGATCTCCTTGTTCGTAAATATGTTTGTCCCCACGAGATGCCGCTGATTGGACTAATAAAAAAAAACAAACAAACAAACAAACACAAAATAAAAATGGAAGTCAACTTCCTTTGTGGACTCAAAACCTTGTGATCCTCTTGTGGCCGTAATCACTCGTGCAATTTCTCCCCGTTGGGACTTTATTGCGTGACAAGAACATACGAAAACGTCGTCTCAAAACAAGGCCACACGATGCAAACATCAGTTTTGCGTAGCAAATACGCTATACATCACGTTACATCTATGTATAATTCATGTATAATTCATGAAGATCGAAATTTTTATCTCCCATTCCCTCTGTTGATTATCGAGCGGCTGTTCTAGAAACACAGAGCAGTTGCGGTCACCTGTTACAAATGAGTACAATATTTGTTCACCCATACAGATTACAGGCAGTAATTCACTAACGTAGCATTTTGAAGGCAATACGTTTTGGTTATACATTTGATGTTTTAATAATAATTAATTTTCAGCAATGGATTTATAAAATGAGCTGTAGAAATGAACAGAGGTAGTTTAAAAAGTACATTACAGATGATAGTCTCCATCTGTTTCTGGAACGCAGCTTGGAAAAACGCAAGCGGAAATATTTCCGCCTTGTGATCGTAATGGATCGTTTCGGACAGGGAAAAGCGATAGTATCCTAACCTTCCTCCTTTTGTTCTGACAGAAGCTGCTAATATCGCGCAACTATACCGAAAAGCCTTCAACTAAGTGGCTGCTCGAGGTTGGAATTGCCGGTAAATCATCATAGACTTGAATTTAGTATGTTAATGAAATATTTGGTAGTGACTGATGCAAATTAACGATTTATCCGGTTTGCATGAGAATGAACCAAATCAGTGCTCCGAAAAATCTTCTTTCTGAGGGAGTGCAGTACAACAACATTATAGGACGTTTCAGTGTTGTTTACGGGCCTCAATAAATACGGTCATTGGACTGTTTTAATTCACTATGTGTTACACAATTACTAGAGACCTTTGAATACATTACGATTCGATAAATTATCTATTTTATGAATTTCGATATCACCAAAAATATTATCAACGCAAGTAAATGACAAAGAAAGAATCCTTAAAAGTGTAAAGATCAGAAAACTCTTTTAATAGGAAGCAAGAGGCCATGTTACGGCCTTCACTTGGGCTTCTTACATGGTTGCAGGGAGATGACAAAACGCGGAGCCCTACTCCATGGAGTACCCTATGGAGTACCTTAATAGAGTACCCCTAAAAGTCAAATAAAATATTTTATAAACATGGTAAATCGTTTAGATGTGCATATCCTAAAATATTTTGAGGTTACCGGCTCTCCGAATGTCTCAGTTTAATACAATCCAGTTTTTTGGGGGACAGGTGACTAGGGCTCTCAGTTTTACTGGTTCCTCCATTTTGGTTTTACCGTTGTGTAATGAGTCCTTTGATGGGAAGACAAAAAACTCCATGTGATTAACAAAAGCCACTGTTTCGAGTTCTGCATGAGGTAAAATATTTAAGCTTACTACATTTCCGAAATCAACGGCCCCAGTCGGATTTATTTACTGTTTTTCTTTTTTTTGTTTGTTTGCATGGCTCAATTTTATTACGCAACAAATAGATGGGTGAGGAGAGGCTCAGTTTAAAGATATGGATTACCTTTGTTAAGTCTCAACCTACAAAAGTAAGCTTGTATCCTCATGGCTT